TGCTAATTAAATGGACTTGAACACCTAGGAAGACTGACATACTCAACAAATAAGTGTCTGGGGTATGCCAAGTTATCTGTGAATTGAACTGAAAATTCGGGTTCTTCTCCTTAAGGAAGCCATGGTCTCAGAGTCAAACAAGTAATTTTTGTATTTGAATAATTGAGCACTGCAAATGTCTACAGTCTATGGAGACGCAGGGAGCTGAACTTAATTTTCTTTGGGAAGATGTCCAGGAATATGTAACAATTTGAGCTTGAGATAGAAGAGTAGTAAGTTGGGTGTGCAAGAGAGACAAATGGGACTGTGCAGTCCAGGGAGAGGAATGTGTATAAGGAAAGACTTGGTGGTATGAGAAAGCATGGTGGGTTTGGGGAACCACATAGAATAGTGGTTATCATGAGGAAAGTCTTGCATGTTGGCTATCTCAGTTAATGGATTTTTTTTTTTTTTTTTTTTTTTTTTTTGGTGTCGAGTAAGAAGAATATGATACCACATCTAGAGCACATGCTATCAAGAAGGGAGAATGGTAGGACTGATATCCCAAGTCAGGAACTCTGGAGTCTCTGAAAAAATTGTGACTTGGAAGTGCGGTGATGCTGATATTCACTGAGATAAAAGACTATAAAATGCGTCACTAGATTGAGAAGTTGGTGCATTCAGTTTCAGACACTGCATTCAAAGCATACGTGGACTGTCTGGGTGAGAATGTCTAGTGGGAGTTGGAAGATAAATGTTTCTGGGTTGCAGGAGAGAGTTTTGGGCTGGAAATTCAAGATATAGTCACCATGTGAGACTGAGTAATTCTTGGTATCAAGGTTGTGGATGGAAGGGTCAGTGAGTAAAAAGGGTCCTGAAGTTATGGCCAGCTTTTAAGAGCCAGGTGGAGATCATCATTCCTACTGGACCCAGAGTTCAGAGGAAAATCATATAAACATAAAAGCCTTAAAAAATTAACCCAGAACTTATGTCTTGTTATTTAGAAATTACAAACAAAATTATGCGATGAGTGTTTGGTATAGCAGTTGATGTCACTTGGCAGAATGCCTGTTTCGAGTTCCAGTCTGGCTTCCTGCTAATGCACACCTTGGGAAGCATGAGGCAGTGGCCCAAGTAGTTGGGTCTCTGCCATCCACAAAGGAGATTCAGAATGGAGTTGCTGCCTCCTGGCTTTGGCCTGGCTCAGATCTGGCTATTGTGCACATTGGAAGAGTGAACCAGTGGATGAAAGGTCTCTGAATGCTTCTATCTGTTTCTGTCTCTGCCTTTCAAGTAAATATAATTAAATATAAACAAGAGTAATTATGAATAAAACTTCAATTTACCATAATTAAAAAGATATTTATGGGGCTGGTGCTGTTGGTGCAGCGGGTTAAAGCACTGGCCTGAAGTGCCGGCATCCCACATGGGTGCCGATTCGAGTCCCAGCTGCTCCTCTTCCGGTCCAGCTCTCTGCTATGGCCTGGAATAGCAGTGGAGGATGGCCCAAGTCCTTGGGCCCCTGCACCCATGTGGGAGACCCAGAAAAAACTCCTGGCTCCCGGCTTCAGATCGACGCAGCTCTGGCCATTGCAGCCATCTGGGGAGTGAACCAGCGGATGGTAGACCTCTCTCTGTGTCTCTACCTCTCTCTATAATTCTTTCAAATAAATAAAATGAATCTTTGAATATATATATATTCAGACTACACAGGAACCACTTGCTTAATTTTTGTATGAAGTAAATATGGTCGTTAGGTATGAATAGAAATGGGATCTTGAGAGCATTGGTAAAAGATTAAAGATGGAGAAATATCAGAGGAGTGATCAGTGGACTGTCAAGCATTTTTTGAGCATAAGTACAGCAGTATGGAGGACAAATTTCATAGGAAATAATGATGAAAATTGTGGGGAAACTATTCTTCTTTTAAAAAGATTTTTTTGTTTGGAAGGCAGAGACACAGAGAGAGGAATGTTCCATTTGCTGGTTCACTCCCCAAATGGCCAGAAGAGCCAGGGCTGGGTGAAGCTGAAGCCAGAGCCAGGACCTCCATCCTGGTCTACGATCTTCTGCTGCCTTGCATTGGAAGGAAGCTGGACAAACAGAGCAGCCAGGACTTGAACTGGCACTCTCATGTGGGGTGCTGTTGCAAGCAGCGGCTTAACAACACTGACCCCACAGGGAAACTATTAGATAATTAGTTTGATGGACCTTTATTTTTGCACTCATTGGCTTAAATGCTTAATTCAGTGAGTGATTAAATTAATATGTAATTAAGAGACTGAGACTGCTGCTTTGGAAGTACAAAGGAATGGGTAAACAGAGTCGGTTTAGAATTGTTGGTGTAGGGTATAAGGTTTTAGAATGTGACTTTAAAAAGCAGATATAGGTCTCTCTGTTCATAAACCAAAGTAAAATTCTGGGAGGGTCTATCATTTACATACAGCATATTAGAGCAAACTGGGATGAAGATTTTAAAAGAATGTTGATGTGGGAAAAACCAAAATTTAATAGGAAGAGCAGAATTTTAAAGGAAAAGATGGCTGACATATTTGCAAAAAAGTAAAGTGTAGGGTCTTAGATCCTACCCTGGAAGTAACTGAATACACTTGGAAAATAGCTGTTTGGGGCAAAGCATGTGCAGTGTAAGAGTGTGTTCTAATTGTGGGCATGTGAGTGGGAGACTTCTGGGATAGAGAGGTTCAAGAGGAGGCCAAGGTGCATAACCAGGGGTTTAAGAAGTTGGTTGATTTGAATGTCCGAGTCCCCAGGATTGTGGTAGGTGTTGTGGCATGGAAGTCGGTGACTGTGGCAGGTAACCAGAACCATGGGTGAGCACCAGGCAGGAGCAACAGATGGAATGCATAAGGCTCAGAGGTTGCAATGGTGACAGAATGTTTACAAGGTGGGTGTTAACTTCATTAGAGCTTGGGATTTTTCATTTTAACTGACTGATTTTATATAGATAAACTGAAGTATGAACTTTTGGTCTTTTTGATTTAAATGTGGCCGTGTTGAAGAAGACAGGTTCAAATGTAATCTCATTTCTGAAGCAGCTGGTTGATAGGCTTGAGAAAGTTCTCTAGAAAGAGGTATGAGGTAGATTAACACTGTGGTGATAAAAAAAAAAAATTACTGTGGTGATGTTGAAGTTGATAGTTTGAGGTGAGTTTAAACTATGGAAACGAGATTTAAAATCAGATGGACATGGCTTACATTTCACTAACTCACTCAGTAAATATTTATTGAGGGAGTACAGTTCTTTGCTAGGCATTATATAGCAACAGGCAGGAGGGCTTAGCACATGCCAAGCACAATTCTTGATTTTTCATGGATTATTTCGTTAAATCCTAATAACAGTCTTTCAAATTGAAATTATTATCCCCATTTTATAGGAGAGGAAGACTGAGGCTATGGGGATGACTCCAAGGTCATACAATTATTGAAAATATGGAAGAACCTATTTCTGTATTCAAAGCAGAGTCTGAGCTATTGAACGCTGACTCTGTTTAAAACTGGCAGTGGTTGGGGCATGGCTGAGTGTTTTTGGACACTGAGTGTTTTTGGACACCTGTAATCCACTAAGAATCCTAAATTAAGTTTCCTCTTTATCATCGTTTTGGTGGAACCACTGTGGTCTGTGCTCTTCCCCGAGTCAGGCAGTTTGGCTATAGCCTGTGATACATTCTGTTCTTTCCATCATACATTCACTTTCTGCTATTTTGATAATGCCCCTGAGATGAAATGGTAAGCCTAAACAAGTTGGAAAAACCCTTATTTTAGCACACAGGTCCATTGCATATTTTGCAACTATAACTTGATCTTCTTTTTCTTTAAATCTTTTCATATTCTACTTTGACATCTTTAGTCAACATTTTTAAAAATAAAAATTTATTCCTCCCCTCCTGCCCTGAAAAGCTGTCAAGATCTGCTTTGAAATACTGAGACTGTTATTGGCATTTCAGTGATACTAGTTTTTGTTTTGTTTTGTTTTTTTATTTTTTGGTATGTAAACTTTTTATAATGAAAGTAGATTTTAATTTTAAGATCAGTTGGAAATACTTTTCAGGAATAGGAAAATAGCCTTACACAAAAAATAATAGGATCGTGTCCATTTTGTTCACTTGGTATGCTTTAGGTTGGTCAGTATTTTAAAGGGAATCTTTTAGATTTTTTTCCCTGTCTTTCTCCTCCCCTTCTTATTTTCACACTTCCTTCCCTTTTAGTCTGATATCTCCTTTCCAAATCAATATTGGCAATTATTTTTCAATTAAATTGAACTGGTGCTCACATTTCTGTTGTGGCTGGGCATTGTCAGTCCTTTCCTAAAAGGACAAGTATATTATCTCTGCTTGGTAACTGGGTGTTGCTATTCACTTGTACCGTACTGCGAAGGAGGAGGGGAAATTCAGGTACAAAACAAAAAGTCTTTCTCTAAGGGAGTTGGAGACTAGGTAGTAAATATAGCTTTAAAGATAATTGAGAAAATAGAACAAAGGTTAACAAATTTTAATCTGTATATCGGGGTGCTGGTTTAATATTTCATTCTTAAGTGACAAAAATGATTCACTGAGCCATATTTTTTGGACTGGAGAAATAGAAGCAGCCCAGGGTTGTATATCTGTTCATCACAGCCTGTAATATTATTCCCCAGGCTTTTTAAATTATCTACTGTGTTCATTTCTGACGTTAGCATTTCTTGTCTGGATTTTGATTTGCTGAATTTAAAATCTTGCTGTAGAGCCATGCTAGTTCTACCTTAACAGAGAAAACACCCCCTCTGCTTTAAAGAAATGGTACTTCCTGCTTTCATAAACAGTCATGTGCATAGTTTAGCAAGGCCCGATGCCTCTGGAGCCTTTTCCCTTTATAGCACCATTGAATCCCGGTCCTAACAGAAGTACTGTGAATCTTGTGGCCTCATTCTGAACAAAAGGGATTAGAGAAGAAAAATCTCTTGATATAAGGCTTGGAAGCCAGAGCAGGCAATCTTGGTTGTGAATATTTTCTGATTTTTCCAGAAATCAAGCAGAAGATTGAGCTGCTGATGTCAGTTAACTCTGAGAAGTCGTCCTCTTCAGAAAGGTACAGCTACATCTCTTGCATGAACAATTAATGGTGTAGCATTGCTAAGAAACAAACCAGGACATATTTTTTTTTTTCTTGTCAAGTTTGCTATATAACGTATTGTACTGCATGCTGGTATTGTGCTGTATTGAAGATGTATTTGGGCAAGCTGTTCTGCTTTTGCGAAGGGTAATTGATTTTTTTTTTTTTTTTAAATTAGTGAAGCCTGATCAGCTGCAGCATGCACACCATAACACAGCCTACCGCTGGCTCCTGTGTGACAGCTGTGGAGGGCTTTTAAAGACCAACAAGCAAACAAAAATCTTGCTTTCTGTAAGAAAGACTACTGTTAGATTTTCCATTTTTTGAGGTTGCTGCTACACAGTAAATAACCAAGGTTATTTGTAAGGCTCAGGTTAAAAATACTTGATATTTGGTTGTGATAAATATTTTCTTATGTGGAAAAGGAGTGCCATTTGTAAATAGCTTAGGAATTGCAAACCCACAGATTAGTCACATTCTGAAAGAGAGATATGATGCTTCTTCAAGTCTGTGCTAGGAAATGGAACAGTCACTGCATGCAGTAATGGTTCATGCCTGCAGGTAAGGACAAAATGACTCAGAAGTATTTTTAAAGCAATTATTTTATCTGTCAATCATGTGATTTTACCTGTAAAGAGATAGTTCGTCAGAATGACTATTTTGTCTTAAAAACACAATTAAGATATTTTTGTCTAAAGAAAGAAATGAGGCTGTAGTTGCCTATTTTGATATACAAACACTGTGTTCACTTCTGTTTATCAAAATTGTGTATACTACATAATGTTTTAAATTGAGGTTCTCAGGCATAGTTTATGCTTATCTTTCTCTTGGGGACCTAAACAGTTTATACTTAATATTTTATATTTAAAGTATGTTGATTTTTCTAGGATTAGTTTTCAGGGTTATCTTTTTATGTTTGTAGGTATAATATTTAAGAAAATATTATGGGGAGTTAACTTGGTAGTTAAGGAATCGTACACTGAAAACACTGAGAAAAAAATGGTGATGAACCTGCCCTGGTAGAATGGATTTATTTAAAGTACACTAGTCTATGCAGGACACAATCTGATGTCAAAATGATCATATATATCAATGTATTTAGTATACTCAGGTGAAAAGCTTCTGGGTATAACTTAGGGCATTATAATTAAAGATGATGTTACTGCTTTCGTTAGAGATAGAAAATAGAAAGATGTAGGACCGCTTGTGTTTGTTTTTATGTGGTGTTCAACTTCTAGTTTATGGCTAGCTGTCTGGTTTTAAGCATTCTGTTTGCAAGATGAAAAGCAGTCTGGAGCCTTGGGAATGTTCTGCCAGTGAAATGGTGGTGCTAGGAAGGGAAAGGGTGGTGGTGAGAACAGCCAGCAGCCCAGGTGCCAACTGTAATGTTGGAGTTTGAAGATGACAGTTGTAATTAAGGCTAGCTGCTGCTGCTAACCTTTTTTCCTTTTTTTTTTTTTTTTTTTGGTATCATGAATTCTTTATTGACAAATTGAGAGTAGAACAGTGGGTGAGTATTACTGAGAGACAAAGAATGGATAAAGTTTTTCTGGCTTAAATACATTCTCTAAAGGAAAAGATTCTAAAATAGTTTATTATCTAGGTTCTTGGGTTTCTCTGAAGGAAAGGGAGGGATGCATATGGTCATGATCTGAAAGATTAGAAAACGGCCACTGTGCTTAAGGTAACTTTATTCATAGTGATACCAGACCTTGCCTTATCAGTTTTAGAGATACATTTGGCAGTTGTGATATTGCTGGCTTAATGGAGATAACTGTACCTTATGGCTCAGCACAACACTGTGGAAATGTGGTTGTTTCATTAATGTAAACATGTTAAAAATAGAAAATATTATTTTTTCCTCTTTTAATTAAAAGTCATGTAATAATGAGTAGTCAGATCATTTATCTTTTTGTTGGGAAGGAATTGAAAATAAAAATCTGAAGTCAAAAAAACAAAAGTCATGTCTTGGTAATGCTATATTCTGCCCAGGAATCCAATACTTTTAGTATCATGTTGTATTACCATCACATTCTTCAGTTCTTGTTCACCAGTTACCTACATTTGAAAAGTCCTTGGTTTGACATTTAAAAATTTTAAGTTAGAGTTAGTGGTTTAAGCATGGTGGCATAAGTCTTAAAAGATATTTGTAATTTACATCCAGTCAATGTTCCAGTATATGTGTTGGTAGAAAGTATAAAGAAACCTGGCTTTTTTCTTTGAAGATGGGAGAAGCTACTTGATTGCACAAAGCCAAAAGTTGTCATTAACACAAACAGATTTTGTTTCTGGAATATAAAAAAAAAAAAAAAGAAAAAGAAAAAATAAACCTAATTTAATTATGTAGCCTCTTAAAATCCCTTCACTGAAAAAGAAAAATGTGATTTGAGGTAGATTTATAGTGGAATTTTGAGGCTTGCGGGTTAAATTAGAAAATACATTAGCAAAGAAAAAAGAAACAGAAAATGTTATCCTAACATCTCAATACCACTCAAAATTCAGAATTATGTTTTTAGGTTTTAATAGAACAGGGAGGTCCATCAAATGCCATTTCATAGGAGAGGTATGGGGGTCCTTATTATGTTCTATTCTAAATAGACTCAGGACTCAAACTCATGCAATATAACAAAAAGTCATAGTTTATGTTGTTGTGGTTTTGTGTTTTGGAGAGAGAAAAACTTAAATTTACTCATTTTAAAAGTGAAGGGCAAAGATATTGTTGAATGAATTTTTAAAAATGATGCCTGATAGGGCCGGCGCCGCGCCAGCACACTGGGTTCTAGTCCCGGTCGGGGCGCCGGATTCTGTTCCGGTTGCCCCTCTTCCAGGCCAGCTCTCTGCTGTGGCCTGGGAGTGCAGTGGAGGATGGCCCAAGTGCTTGGGCCCTGCACCCGCGTGGGAGACCAGGAGAAGCACCTGGCTCCTGCCTTCGGAGAGGTGCGTGTGGGCCGCAGCGCGGCAGCCATTGGAGGGTGAACCAACGGCAAAGGAAGACCTTTCTCTCTGTCTCTTTCACTGTCCACTCTGCCTGTCAAAAAATAAAAAAATTAAAAAAAAATGATGCCTGATAATGAATAAAAACAAATTGTGGGAGGCCAGGCATTGGTGTACAGTGGGTTAAGCTGCCCCTGCAACACTTGTATCCCTTAAGGTTGCCAGTTTGAGTCCCGGCTGCTGCACTTCTGATTCAGCTCCCTGCCAATGCACGTGCTGAAGCAGCAGCAGATGGCCCAAGTCTTTGCCCCGCACCCATGTGGGAGACTTGGATGGAGTTCCTGGCTCCTGGATTTGGCGTGGCCCAGCCCTGGCTGTTGGGGAGTGAACCAAATGTGATGGAATATTTCCCTCTTTGCCATCCCCTCCCCCCAGTAACTCTGCCTTTCAAACAAACAAACAAATCTTTAGAAACAACAATAAATGATGTGTATAGCTAGTTAAGGGGAAGGCATCTAAAATCTCCTGCTTTGGAGATTTTAGAAGTAAATCCTGCAAACATTTTCTTTTTAAATTGAGTGTATTTGGAATGAATGCCTGTCCTAAACACATTAGAGGTGGTGCTAGACAGTTTTATTTTCTTATCTGCTCCCATTTAATGAGATTTTCAGAGCCGCCCCCCCCCCCCCCGCTTCTTTTTGAAATTTAGAAAACTAATGTCTGGTAACAAAAAAAATATTTGGTCTCCAGGGTTCCCTGGTTCAATCCACAAAAGGCCTGTAACTGCTGGGATCAGAGCCAATGGCTTGGAATGCAGTTCTGCTCTCTCCCATATGGGAGATACGAACATTAGTTGCTTGAGCCCTCACTGCTACCTCCCGAGGTCTGCATTAGCAAGATGCTGGAGTCAGCAGCCCTAGCCAGGACTGGAACCCAGGCACTCCATTGTTGAACTTGGGCATCTAAACAGTTCAGGTGCCACTTCTAAGTCATTTATGGGGAGACATGAAGGGAGAAAAAGTGGGATGTGTGTGTGTGCATGTGTATTTTAAAAGAACTGCTCTTGGGAAGACTGGCAGATCATACCAGAAATACCCCAAGGGTGCAAGTTTTTGTCAGTTATATTGCTGCTTCTGCAGTGAACTTTTCTAACAGAAGTATATGGCTTAAAGCGTAAGCCCAGAGTGCTCAAAGCTGTGAATTCCGACCCATTCAGACCAAACCCTGAGAGGGCTGCTGAGTTTGTGAAGGGAATCTGAGAAGCTGAGAGTCTACATTTATTTGTCCTCAGCATCGCCTACACCTGCTATTGTTAAGTATAAAATGGATGTTGTTGTAATTAGTAAAGTTCACAATCAATTAAAAGTTAATAACTAAGCAGTGCTACATAGGTTTGGTTTTTCTCAGGAAACAGATACTAAAGGCCAATTTTCTTTGTGTTTTTAACTTTTTTTTTTTTACTGTTAAAAATGAGTTCTTAGACTTGTACTAGTGCAGAGAAGAAGTATTCTAGCCTGATGCTTTAGCATCCCAGAAAGCTGGCAAATACCGAATCCCCACATTGCTGGCTACCTTGTTTTGGAGAAGAGCAAGTACCATAATGCTACTGTGCTGTGGCCTATGTTTCACTAGTGCTGAATAAACAGGACAGGTGAGATGTAGTGGAGCCTGCTTATTGTTCCTCCCCTAGTATAACCATGTTTCAGGTACTTGAAGAACCCGTGCCATTTGTGTGTGTGTGAATTTTAATTCTGTCCCTTAATTTGGAAACTCTTTTAAGTGAAGAGAAAGAGGGCAGATGATAATGATGAGTGGATGTGGAAAGCAAAAAGAGAAACCTGGAAGAAAAAGGAAACTGGCACGGGGGGGGGGGGGAGGGGAGGATTAAAAATTAAGGAATGTACCAGCAATAGGTCTATTAAACCCAGCTTTTTGATAATTAAAAAAAAAACCCACGTGTGTGTGTGTGTTTGTGTGTGTGTGTGTGTTTTACCTTAAGAAATCTTTGCCAAACCCAAGGTCACTTAAGACTTTCTCTTAGA